GCATGACTGTGTTCCAGGTTTACAATAGGTCTTACTGGCACAAGATTGTATGTAGGGATGAGTTCTTTTCTTTACCCACCTCCCTTTTCCTTTTCTCCATCCTCCCAGGGGGCCAGTATAGATTGCAGGGTTGCTCTCGGGTGCCTAACAAGCAGCAGACTTCTTTCTGCTAATAGTTCTTATCTGGGATTCTTCAATAATTACTTCCTTCCAAGCTTCTGATACATTGAATTATGTGAAGTGTATCTCTTAAACCAGCTTGTATACCCTATTTTGGATTTGCAAATAAGAAGTTGTTGGTATTGCAATACAGGGTGTGCTTCTTACTCTGGGAAACTTTGTGCTGCTAGCTTTTCCTAAAACATTCAACAGAGAGCCTCCTCTGTACATATTTTGAATCCTTAATAGACCTTCAATGCTTTGGTACTCCTTCCTGCTAATTTATATTTTGATGTTTCAGATGTCTCTTAGATTTATGAAGATGTTGTTTGTGTTTCCATTTGTTATTCTTCATTTTGATTTTGAGAATTTCCAAGAGGAGTATGTTAAGCCCACCGATAGCCCAGTGACACTTTAACACCAGAAGTCAGTCTTTCCTCTTAAATACAAATGGAAAATCAAGGATCTGTATTTAGTTAATAAAACTTCCCAAAGAGAAAAAATAATTTTGCTTCAAATAAGGAAGAAAATGGAAACCAGGGAATATAGAATTTATTCAGGAAACAAAATATAATATCAAAAGGCTAATTAATATGTATAGAGATATGAATAAACTTATTTATGCATGGGACAACAGTGGGATATTAAGAAAAATAATAGAGAACCAAAAAGAAGTCTTACAGACTAAAATCTGATATCTGAGATTAAAAATTAAATATAATAGAAGGTAAATATAAGGCAATTTCCTAGAAATAATACAAGTCAATGAGACATAAAATATAACAGACAAGATAAATGTCTTATAGGATGATTTTAGGAGGCCCAGCATCTTACTAGTAGCAGTCACAAAAAGAGAGGACAAAGAGAGGAAGAAAGGAAATGACAAATAACTGACGTAAGAATTTCATTTCAATGAAGGGTATATATATCTAGATGGAAAGTTTCCCCAAGTGGTCAGCACAGTAAGTGATGAAAAGCTCCACATTGTGAAATTAGCATCCTCCAGAGAGAAAAACCATAGACCAACATACCAAGCAACAAGAACTAGAATGGTATAGGATTGTAAAATATTGACATTGGGTAATAGGAAGCAATGGAACATGCCTTTAAGATTTTGAGGATAAAGGAATTTCAATGTAGAATTTTATACGTAGTCTAAATATTAATCAGTTGTCTTTGGTAGTCAGACATTAATGACTCAGAATATTTATTTTCCATCTACGCTTTCTCTGGAAGTGTTTGGAGGATGCAGGAAATGAGGGATTAGACCAAGATCCAGAAAACATTGTATCCATCCCCTGAGACCAGCTAAAGAAAAGTCCTAGGATGACAGCTCTTCAGGCTGTAGAGTGTGACCATTTTAGATTTGTGGGGTTTGAGGGACAGGGTACAGGGGATGCCCAGAGCACAACTGATCATGTGTACTGTGAGTGCCTGACCTGTTACCCAGGAGAAGCTCAGCCAGAATCTCTCGTTCTAATATACCTGGAACAGCAATAG